ACGCCATTCCTGCTCCTCTCCCACACACACATATCACTGCTCCTCTCCCACAAACACACATATCACACACAAACACACGTATCACACACAAACACACGTATCACACACAAACTCACGTATCACACACAAACTCACGTATCACACAAAAACACGCGTATCACACACAAACTCACGTATCACACACAAACTCACGTATCACACACAAACTCACACGTAGCACGCACACACACATATGTAGCACACACATTTTCTCTCACACTTAGCACACACATACACACACTCACACATTGTCTCTCAGACACACACACACTCTCACATTGTCTCTCAGACACACACACACTCTCACACTGTCTCTCACACACACACACACACACTCTCACACTGTCTCTCACACACACACACACACACACGCGCCATGGACCAGTGACACGGCGTGTCCAGGCGTGTCACTGGTCCATGGCGTGTCCAGGCGTGTCACTGGTCCATGGCGTGTCCAGGCGTGTCACTGGTCCATGGCGTGTCCAGGCGTGTCACTGGTCCATGGCGTGTCCAGGCGTGTCACTGGTCCATGGCGTTTCACTGGTCCATGGCGTGTCCAGGCGTGTCACTGGTCCATGACGTGTCCATGGCGTGTCACTGGTCCATGGCGTGTCCAGGCGTGTCACTGGTCCATGACGTGTCACTGGTCCATGACGTGTCCATGGCGTGTCACTGGTCCATGACGTGTCCATGGCGTGTCACTGGTCCATGACGTGTCCAGGCGTGTCACTGGTCCATGACGTGTCCAGGCGTGTCAGTGGTCCATGGCGTGTCCAGGCGTGTCCAGGCGTCTCTTTGGTCCATGACGTGTCCGGGCTGCTCACACCTGGACACACCTTAGACCAGTGACACGCCGTGGACACGTCATGGACCAGTGACACGCCTGGACACGCCATGGACCAGTGACACGCCATGGACACGTCATGAACCAGTGACACGCCTGGACACGTCATGGACCAATGACACGCCCAGACACGCCATGGACCAGTGACACGCCGTGGACACGTCATGGACCTGTGACACACAGTGGACACGTCATGGACCAGTGACACGCCTGGACACGCCATGGACCAGTGACACGCCCGGACACGCCATGGACCAGTGACACGCCATGGACACGTCATGAACCAGTGACACGCCATGGACCAGTGACACGCCATGGACCAGTGACACGCCCGGACACGCCATGGACCAGTGACACGCCATGGACACGTCATGAACCAGTGACACGCCTGGACACGTCATGGACCAGTGACACGCCGTGGACACGTCATGGACCTGTGACACACCGTGGACACGTCATGGACCAGTGACACGCCATGGACCAGTGACACGCCCGGACACGCCATGGACCAGTGACACGCCCGGACACGCCATGGACCAGTGACACGCCGTGGACACGTCATGGACCTGTGACACACCGTGGACACGTCATGGACCAGTGACATGCCTGGACACGCCATCGACCAGTGACACGCCTGGACACGCCATGGACCAGTGACACGCCCAGACACGCCATGGACCAGTGACACGCCTGGACACGCCATGGACCAGTGACACACCGTGGACACGTCATGGTCCAGTGACACGCCTGGACACGCCATGGACCAGTGACACGCCTGGACACGCCATGGACCAGTGACACCCCCGGACACGCCATGGACCAGTGACACGCCGTGGACACGTCATGGACCTGTGACACACCGTGGACACATCATGGACCAGTGACACGCCTGGACACGCCATGGACCAGTGACACGCCTGGACACGCCATGGACCTGTGACACACCTGGACACGTCATGGACCTGTGACACACCTGGACACGCCATGGACCTGTGACACACCTGGACACGCCATGGACCGGTGACACCCCCGGACACGCCATGGACCAGTGACACGCCGTGGACACGTCATGGACCTGTGACACACCGTGGACACATCATGGACCAGTGACACGCCTGGACACGCCATGGACCAGTGACACGCCTGGAGACGCCATGGACCTGTGACACACCTGGACATGTCATGGACCTGTGACACACCTGGACACGCCATGGACCTGTGACACACCTGGACACGCCATGGACCAGTGACACGCCTGGACACGCCATGGACCAGTGACCGCCGCCACCTGAGATAGAAAAGCCATAATATCAAACACAAAGAACAATGTTAGCTTCATCACTGAGCTGTATTTGTTCACCTCATTAATCTGGTCATGAACAGAACAGCATTGTGAAAGTTACACGGAAAATAAAGGTGAAACCAAACATTTAAATGTCCATATAGAATTCAGTCTTATAATACCTCTTTAAGGCCAAACCTCAAAATCTGTAATATCTTGAATGGATCTACTCTCCAAGACGGTGTGTTCCATTTCCTGGACTTTATGTCACTGCTGAATGGTGGCAGTTAAACCAATGAGAGGCCTCAGATGCTTCTTCACTGCTGTTATCCGCCTTGATGAAACAACTCTGAAACATTAAGAGAGATGAATTAGAATATTAAAACAACAAAAGACAAAAACATCTAAATAGATGAAGTTTCTATATACCAGTGCTTGTGCCCCCTTTTAAGACCGCAAACATAATCTGTACCCCCTATTCCTTGTTAAGATATACATTTAAACAGCCCCCATTATTCTTCAAATCCATCAAGGGAGATGAAAAGATGGAAAGAAGGAACTTTTAAGATAAACTAGTGAAACACATCTATTCTATTCCTGTGACATGTTTGGTTAGGATAATTGTAATGATACCACTCAACACACAAGAGCAATATACACTAGAGCTGTAAACAGCAGGTAAATAACTCTGGGACAAGCATTTTCTTCCACAGCACTACACAACCTCAAACTGCAAATATGTTCATTAACCATAGATTTATCTGTTCCAATAAAGCAACAACCGGTAACAACTTTATTACACATACAGCACCCTGTGTGTGTGACACACAGAACAGACCAGGACTGAGAGGACTCTGTGTTAATGAGGACATCTATATTCAATATGAGACATTTACAACATCTGTGTGTGTGACACACAGAACAGACCAGGACTGAGAGGACACTGTGTTAATGAGGACATCTATATTCAATATGAGACATTTACAACATCTGTGTGTGTGACACACAGAACAGACCAGGACTGAGAGGACTCTGTGTTAATGAGGACCAGCTAAACTGAAAATGAGACATTAACTATACTAAGTGTAAGATATTCACATGCACTCACTCAAACCTAAGTTTATGACACTCTAAATGATGCAGCAGAGTGTTTTAAGAGATGACCGTAAGTGTGTTCAGGATGTACCTACCAGTATTATTGTACTTCATTGATACTGGTCGGTCCACGGCGTGTCCAGGCTTGACACTGGTCCGTGGTGGGTCCAGGCGTGTCACTGGTCCAAGGGCGTGTCCAGGCGTGACACTGGTCCATCCCGGGTCCAGGCGTGTCACTGGTCCATCCCGGGTCCAGGCGTGTCACTGGTCCAGGCGTGTCACTGGTCCAGGGCGTGTCCAGGTGTCTCACTGGTCCATGCCGGGTCCAGGCGTGTCACTGGTCCAGGGCGTGTCCAGGTGTGTCACTGGTCCAGGGCGGGTCCAGGTGTGTCACTGGTCCACTGCGTGTCCAGGTGTGTCACTTGCCACCGCCTGAGATAAAAAGGCCTTAATATCAAACACACAGAACAATGTTAGCTTTATCACTGAGCTGTATTTGTATCTGGTCATGAACAGAACAGCATTCTGAAAGTTACAAGGAAAATAAAGGAGAAACCAAACATTTAAAAGTCCATTTAGAATTCAGCCTCAAGCCGCGTTCAGACCGGATCATGCTGCGTCGGCTTTCAATGCAAAGTCAATGGTGACGCACGTTTGAGCGTCAAAATGCATGTGCGGACTGCTCCTGTGGAGACGCTCGGACTGTTCAGTAGAGACGTTGCTCTGTAGAGACGCACGGACTGCTCTGTAGAGACGCACAGGCTGTTCAATAGAGACGCACAGACTGCTCGGTAGAGACGCACAGACTGCTCTGTAGAGGCGCACGGACTGCTCGGTAGAGACGCACGGACTGCTCTGTAGAGACGCACAGGCTGTTCAATAGAGACGCACAGACTGCTCTGTAGAGACGCACAGACTGCTCTGTAGAGGCGCACGGACTGCTCGGTAGAGACGCACGGACTGCTCGGTAGAGACGCACGGACTGCTCGGTAGAGGCGCACGGACTGCTCGGTAGAGGCGCACGGACTGCTCGGTAGAGACGCACGGACTGCTCGGTAGAGACGCACGGACTGCTCGGTAGAGACGCACGGACTGCTCTGTAGAGACGCACGGACTGCTCGGTAGAGACGAACGGACTGCTCGGTAGAGACACACGGACTGCTCACTAGAGACACACGGACTGCTCACTAGAGACACACGGACTGCTCACTAGAGACTCAGACTGCGCGGCAAAGTCGAAGGGGAGGAGCAGGAGCGGAAAATGTATGCACGCAGGAGATAAATATTGCTGAATGTTTCCTCGGACGTACGTGCAGCAACCAATCCGCAGAGAGAGAGAGCCGCAAAGTGGTCACGGGGACATTAGCGGACTGAGCAAGCAGACTGAACATACTGTCAACGGCTAAAACAGGAGCCACACCAGGACTAAAACCGGGGTTGACAATGGGGGACATAGTGCTTGTGAACATATGCGTTTTCATGCTCCCATGACTTTACGCAACTGCTTTGAGTGTTTGCCGATGCGGAAACTGAAAATGAGACATTTAACTACTCAGAGTAAGATATTCACATGTCTTAAAGGGACACGCTCACTCAAACCTAAGTTTATGACACTCTAAATGATGCAGCCAAGTGTTTAAAGTAAATATGTCCCTTACAAACCATAGTTTCTAAACATCATGCATCCAAAATTAAGCAGCAGAACTAACCTGTTGCGCAGGGCTGTCTGACTCTTCACTTTCAGTTCAGCGTCTGTTGAGGAGAACACATGATATGAAGGCACAATGCTTAGCAAGACCAGGTGTTTTTACCAGGAGTAGCTAAGGTTTTATCTAAAATGCTCGATTTTTTAATCTTATTTTTAAAATGCTATAACTTAAAAGTGATAAGAGATTGAGGATTTCTGTAAATTATAACAATTAAGGATGGTCCAAACCCTGCTCTCTCTATCTCGTCCAACGTTACTGCCGCCCCGTGAATACGACACTATTAGCGGAGGCTGGACGTCAGGGCACTGACTTCTAATCTTCCATCCATCAATCATCTTCCCCTTAATCCATTTCTGGGTCGGGGGGGTGGCAGTCAGAGCTACACCCAGTTCACAGAGCACCAGCCCCTCCCTGATCCTCCTGCAGGTAGTGAGTCCATAGGAGCCTTGATTTTTGAGTGGGGGCTTTAGGCAAAGTGGGGTTATGTGTCTTGCCCAAGGACAAAATGACAGCAATCACCAGTGGGAGTCGTGAAGTAGGTCTCGTGGTGGGCTCGAACCCACGAGCTTCAGTCTTAAAGACCAATGCTCTACTAAGTGAGCCACTGTCGCCCAGTCTAGATTTGCGGAGTCTTGTTCTCCGCAAATCTAACCTTTCTTCAAACTTCCAAATGACCGCCCTGACCCTGAGAAACACTGTTCCAACTGACACTGAGCGTTTGAAGTGTTTAAAGTGTCTAAAGTTTGTGTTTGTTGCGGTACAACACTGGCACGCTGCTGCAGCTGCACTCGCTTCGCTATGATTTCGGCACTGGTTCAACACGGTCTTGCTCAATTATTTTGTATATGAGCATGGCCATTTTAAATAGTACTGCATCTTGTCGACAAGAGGGTTAAGTAAGGTATTACCTCTGGATAAGTCTGCAGAGAGAACATCAGGGTCCAAGTCACTGTGTGGTCACCAAACTCTGCAACATGTTGTCCAGCAATGATGCTTATACCACTGAGCTGTGTCTAAACAAGAGGAACAGAAAAAATACACATCATCTTCACCAGCCATACCCAAATTGAGGTCTGGGGTCTATTGGGGCCCTCTCTGTCTTGATATGTAACAATATACACATTTTCAATGTCATCTAGCCAACATCAGCTCTGCCAACATAGGTTATAAATCATTGTAATGCTCAGGATCTCTGTAATCATGTTGTTTCTGTGATGAAGAGATGGCTATAATCTCACAAGTCAAATCATTATCACACATGTGCATAGGATGGACTGTGAAATATGAAGAAAAGCCTAATATGGAACCTTTAAAAACTATGCCTTTGGACTGTGATGATGCTTTGACCTACTTAAGATAATATAAGAATTCCTTTATTTGTCCCACAGTGGGGACGAATACTTCTTTATCAGCTATTGTAAAACAATGGGACTTATTTCTTTAACAAACAGCCATAAATAAGCTAACCTCAAAAGAGGACTTCCTGATGTCCCGCTGCAGGACTCGACTCTCTGGTTCCTCTCATAGTTTTTCAAACAGTAAATTACTTCTGTCCTCTTAACATTCACAAAACATTTCCCTAGTCATCAAGTTTGAAGCAGTGTTTTGAAGCTCAAATCAAAACTCTCAAGTTAAATCAGTCCTGGTTTAGACAGTGTTGTTGTAACACTGCAGTTCACCTGCATGGCTGTGTACTTACTTACTTACTTACTTACTTGGAGAAATATCCATTCATTTTCTTCACCCAGAGCACCAGCCCCTCACTGATCCTCCTGCAGGTGGAGAGTCCATAGGAGCAAATTATGAATGATTAAAATATTTTAATTCTAATAGACTATTATAGACCTAATACATGCAGGTTATATAATATACCCTATAGTAATAACATACTATCGCCAAACAGCCCCTTACCGGGGAACACATCTCTTTTAAGCTTTAAGGAACACAGTAGGCCTATTATTTTATTTCTATTAAGAATACAGATGTATATAATTTAATGAAACTAAAACATTTTAATTAACAAGCATTTCCATGCAAATGGAAGGTACTAGTGATTATTATACTATTGTTATTTCATCATCAAGTCACTCACATCCCAGTGGAAGCAGATGTTGGAGGTTATGGACTATGTGGGCTAAATGGGACATTTATAATTTTATGGCATAAGGATTATGCTATGCCCTTTGCCATTAATGGATAATCAAAGCCTATTTGTATGATTTCTGCAAAAAGTGCATCATAATAAATACCTCAAATGTCTTATCTCTATTGTTCTTATAATTGTAGTCTTCTAACTGGCCTTATAAAAGCAATAGGCATTATGTAGTATGCATAAACTGGGCGTTAGCCACTTAGCTCCGCAGCTAATCTAGGATACTTTGTGCTAAACAACCTGTGGCCAGCTGTAACTCTTCCCAGTATTGACTCACCACGGCCCTGTCTCTTCTGTGGACAATATAGTTGCTGTAGATTTTCTGAACAAGTGGCTGCAGCACACATTCGCGTTAGCTTTAGCGTTAGCTCTGCTGCTAAACTAGGCTGCTTTGTGCTATGTGGTGACAGTGAAAACTCTCTCCTACCTCCGTGCGGGTGTCTCTCCATGTCCTGTGTCCCTCTGCGCGGCTGCTCCTCTCCTGTCTCCTTTGTGGATGTATAATTACTGCAGAAATGCATAAACTTCCCCTTGACAGAAAAGACGCTCTGTTGTCCTTCCCCACGGAGCATGCGCAGTGCTGACTTTGTGTGTGTGTGTATATTTTCCCGCGGTTGTGTATAATTCCCCTTTTTCCCGCGCGGGAGAAAACCACCACTAGGGGCAGTGGCGGACACACAAATTTACCAATTTTCTCAGGTTTCTGGATTAAAAAGACTTTTGAGAAAACCACTTTTTAGGCATTAAAAAATGCATAGAAAACGATTTAGAATGTAATTTTTATGAGGACAGCAAATTGTCCTCCTAAACCTCCTTACTCGGAGAAAAGTCTTGAAAATCGGCCTCGTAAACCAGAAAATAAAACACACACACACACACACGCAGGTGGAGTGTGCACACACACACACACACAACGCAGGTGGAGTGTGCACACACACACACACACACACACACGCAGGTGGAGTGTGCACAGACAGACAGACACACACACACACACACACGCAGGTGGAGTGTGCACAGACAGACAGACACACACACACACACACACGCAGGTGGAGTGTGCACAGACAGACAGACACACACACACACACGCAGGTGGAGTGTGCACAGACAGACAGACACACACACACACACACACACAGGTGGAGTGTGCACAGACAGACAGACACACACACACACACACACACGCAGGTGGAGTGTGCACAGACAGACAGACACACACACACACACACACGCAGGTGGAGTGTGCACAGACAGACAGACACACACACACACACGCAGGTGGAGTGTGCACAGACAGACAGACACACACACACACACACACGCAGGTGGAGTGTGCACAGACAGATAGACACACACACACACACACACACACAGGTGGAGTGTGCACAGACAGACACACACACACACACACACACAGGTGGAGTGTGCACAGACAGACAGACACACACACACACACACAGGTGGAGTGTGCACTGATGCAGTGCGGTCCCATTGACCTGCATTGATCCTTCTCTGGAGGTGACTCTGGAGCACGCTCAGTCTGATCAATGCTTCAGTAAATACAACCCGCAATCCCACAATCCTCTGCTCTGTGTGCGTCTGCTGCTGCCATGGCGATAAGACCTCGTTAAGATACTAATCATGAGGTCCAGCAGCTCATTTAGCCCTAATTTGTTTCCACCCACATCCGTGAAGGGCAGAAAGGGTTAAGTCTTCCTCATACATTCAAACTGAGCTCGTCATTTCTGTTGTGAGAAAAATGTCAGTTTTTTTCCCGTAGTTTAATTTATTTGGTGTAAACATGTAAATTGTGGTGTATTTTGGACGGTTCACTTCAATGCCCTACTGGCTTTTACTTTCTTTCTTCTGTGGAGAAGGCTTTTTATCTGAGAACTAGTGAGAACAAAATAATGTGTATTTTTGACCATTTTTAAGCTAATGCTAAAATGAACTTTGTGTGTAGTACAATGCAGGGACGTGCAGTCAGGGGAGGCAGGGGAGGCAGAGCCTCACCTGCCATTATTGGAAACTAATAATTATTTTAGTTTAAATATATAATTTATATCCACTGTCCTATGCTTTTAATGTATATTCGGCACGGTTCCCATCAGTTTTGATCATTTCTGAAGTCAAAATCGCCGAAATCCCGTTATTCCTATTCAAAGAGACGAGGTGAGGCAGCGCTCCTGCGTGCCTCACCTCAGACCGCTCCCTCACAGTGTGTGTGTGTGTGTCTGAGTGCACTCAGCTCGTGCAGTTGATATATCACCGTTTGTTTCAAATATCCTGCTTTAAAAACATTTTTTAAACTCCTCTTAAGGGGCGTTCACACCGGACTTAACTTCGGCGTCAAAAGCGTCAGGTTTGCATTGAAAGTGAATGGTGAAGCGCGTCAGGTGAAGCCGAGGGGCCCGGCGTCACTTGGCGCGCGTCAAAAGCTTCAAAGGTCGCGCGTAATACGCGCTCACTTGAAGCTTTTGACGCGCGAATCGCTCGCGTATCACAACAATCCCTTTGACGCCGAAGCTGAGCAAAGCTGAGCTTTTGAAGCTTTGACGCGGGCTTCAACCAATCAGGAGACAGGGTCGCTCTACGATGAAGCCGGTGGAAGCGGGAAACAAAATCATATTCGAGAACATGGAGGAGAGCTTAATCGTGGCGATTAGCTCTCGCCCAGAGCTTTACGCTGTTTCCAGCCCGCTATACAGGGACAGGAATAAAAAGGACCTTGCTTGGAGGAGGATAAGCGAGGAGATCGGGTACGATGGTAAGTTATGTAAAGAATTCATATCTGTATTCCATGTTTAGTAAACTCCGGTCAGGAGTCGTACAATGTACAGTCGCTATGATTTCTGTTCCCGCTCACAAGTCCATTTGTTCATATAGAGAAAGAAATCAAAAAGAGGTGGAAAAGCCTGAGGGACAGGTTCATGAGGGAGTGCAGGAAGGAGAAAGACAGGAGGCGCAGTGGTGCAGCAGCAGCAGGGACAGTGCAGAGGTGGAGGTACTTGGCATCGCTCTCCTTCCTCGAGCCCTACGTAACACCGAGGCCATCTACTGGTAACATGACAGCACACAGGGCCGAGGAGGAGAGCGCGTACAGCCACCTCCAAGAGGAAGAACCAGCAGCAGCGGAGGTGTCAGTTGCAGGAGGTCTGTAGCTAAAACAATGTATTGAATGAAGTCATGCAGCTGCCCACTAAACTGTTTTGTTGTCATTGTTTATAGCAAGGTTATTTATGAGTATTAACGTTCTTAATAAGCAACTGGCAAAATAAATGTACATATGCTGTAAACTAATGTCAGATGTAGGTGTGTAGCTAAAACAATGTATGGAAAGAAGTCATGCAGCTGCCCACTAAACTGTTTTGTTGTCATTGTTTATAGCAAGGTTATTTATGAGTATTAACGTTCTTAATAAGCAACTGGCAAAATAAATGTACATATGCTGTAAACTAATGTCAGATGTAGGTGTGTAGCTAAAACAATGTATGGAAAGAAGTCATGCAGCTGCCCACTAAACTGTTTTGTTGTCATTATTGTTTATAGCAAGGTTATTTATATGAGTATTAACGTTCTTAAAATGATTGTACACGTGCTGTGAAGTGAAAGTAATTTATTTAATAACAGATGACGCTGATACGGAGTCAAGTTCAGAGACAGAGCCGAGTGCTGGACCGTCCTCGGCCTCTGGACCGTTCTCGGCTCCTGGACCGTCCTCGGCTCCTGGACCGTTCTCGGCCTCTGGACCGTCCTCGGCCTCTGGACCGTTCTCGGCTCCTGGACCGTCCTCTGCTGCTGGTTCTTCCTCTGCTGCCGGTCGTTCCCCTGCTGCTGCACCTACAGGTGTGTAGGAAATCAATTTTATTGTTGTGAATGTATAAACGTTATATTAAACATTTCACAAATACTTTTGAATATGTGGGCATCAAAAAGTGAAATATACAAATCGAATACTGTTTTTACATAGGATCTAGTTATTTTATTTAACATAAGAAAAGGATTTAAAAGTTGTTCATAGATTATCAGATCCTACATACTCATGACTTTATATTTTTAAAGCCATTGTCTTGTGGTGTTTGCAGGTCCACAAAGGAAGAGAGCGAGGAAGCGCACCACCCAGGACACCTCCGCCCAGGAGCTATCGCGCTTGGAGCTGGAGCTGATGGCCCTCCTGCGGCAGACTGCAGCTCCAGCTCCATCACGAAATGAGCTCTTCCTCCAATCTCTGCTTCCTCTCCTGGATAAGGTGCCACCTCAATCTTTAGAATTTGTCAAATTCCAAATTCATAAATTACTTTATGAGAGCAGCGCATTTACGCTTAATGTGGAACAATTGGAGCACACTTAGTAGTAGTGTTTAGCTATGAGGTGGCTTCTTTTGCAGGGGAGGAAACAGACTCTTCTCCTTCCTGCACTCCTCCTCCTCCTCCAAGCAAGGTCCTTTTTATTCCTGTTCCTGTTCTTTTTTGTGTATATATTTGTTTTTACATATTTCATTAAAAAAATTATAACTTAAGATTTGGTCTGCTACTTTAAATATGTACAGGTTTTTCATTAAGGTATGTGTTCAAATAAGTTAAATATCACTAATTTCAAATACTTCAATTAAGGAGAACTTTACTCGTAAACACGTTATCACCAAATATGAGACAATAGAAATTAGTTGACATAATTAATTTCAGCATATCCTGTTTGGACAAACTTGTAATTGAGGCCATGCTTGAACATGTTGTGAAGTCGGAGACAGCTGCAGAATCTGGAACTATTACCTGCAAACAAGAAGGGCACAGGTGAATGGTTAAAAAACATACTGGATAAACATAGACATGGTCTTTATCCAAGACTAGAATTCATGATCAGGATGTTGTAGTATTTGTGTCCTGATATTCAAAAGTAATGCATTGGCAAATACAGACACTCAAATATTATTAAAGAAGAAATGCTCTTTAGTTTTCATGGGTGGCTCTTAAAAGAACCGTTTTGGGTCAGTCCCGTGAGGATCTGACTACTCTGTCGGCTGCCATGCTACTGCCCCCTCCTCACAGAAGTGGGCCATGAACGCCTCCCTCGCCTGCAGTGCCTCTCTGGTGGCGTTGTTGGCACCCATCCTCCCGACACCTGGAAGACAGTCATCTCCCTGCGCTGCAGCTCCTCTCAGGACTGGGACCGGAGCAGACACCCTCAGGAAATTGTGGAGAACACATGTGGCCTTCACGCACTTCTCCACAACTTCTGGCCGGATCTCGAGGTCCCGACGAAACATCCTCCACTGCGATGACCAAATGCCAAACGCATCCTCCACCACCAGCCGGGCTCGGGAGAGGCGGTAATTAAAAATGCGCTGTCCAGGGTTAGCGCCGCCACTTCCTGGAAAAGGCCGCATTAAGTTCCTCCGCAGTGGGAAGGCCTCATCTGCCACAAAGACATGGGGCAGGGGGCCTCGGCAGCTCCTGGAGTAAATGGTGAAACTCACCAAACACTGCACGCCTCTGAAGTATGCTGTGAACCCATACACGTTGTGTAGAAGCCCTACGACGACGTTGTATGGATTTTACCAACAAATAAAGGCAAGCTGCTCTTCGGAAATCCGCCATCTTCTCTGGACTACACCGGCAACAGAGAAGCTCCTCCCACCAGCGTCAGGCGCGTCAGGCGCGTCAGGCGCGTCAGTCGCGTCACTCGCGTCAAAAGCTTCAAGCACCAAAATGACAAAAATAACCCGGCGTCAGCTGACGCGCGTCAAAAGCTTTTTGAAGCTTTTGGTCTGAACGCGCCTTTAGTGTTTAGTAGTGTATTGCACGTATGTGTGTACAATTTATATTTAGTTTAAGTCTTTTGATCGTAGATGAACACACAAGGAAAAAGCTTGGCGTGAGGCAGGCGGTATCTGTGCCTCACCGCTAGGGGTGATAGTGAGCATAAAGTTCATACCAGAGTTGCTAACAAACAATCAGCCCAAAATGCTATTTCTTTTGCTGGAAAATGGATGATTTGAATGAAGATTTTTTTTCTCAATTGGACTTTCAAACAAAGAAAGAATTAATATAGACTGGGAGACCACCACTGGACTTACGAGGTTAGTCCGGCTGCGGGGGAGGAGTTTGTTAATCTGTGTTTTATGTTGAACATTGACAGATACCGGCAAAGTAGTGCTTTTCCGAAAAACACTGATTCAAACACTGCTCAAGAGTTCTGCAACTTGTTTAAATTATTGTTTATGTTCCTCGCGTCTCTCTCTCCTCGCGTCTCTCTCTCCTCGCGTCTCCGTCTCTCTCTGCTCCTCGCGTCTCCGTCTCTCTGCTCCTCTCTGTCTCTCTCTGCTCCTCGCGTCTCTCTGCTCTTCTCTGTCTCTCTCTGCTCCTCTCTCCTCGCGTCTCTCTCTCCTCGCGTCTCTCTCTCCTCGCGTCTCCGTCTCTCTCTGCTCCTCGCGTCTCCGTCTCTCTGCTCCTCTCTGTCTCTCTCTGCTCCTCTCTCCTCGCGTCTCTCTCTCCTCGCGTCTCTCGCACCTGCGCTTCTTAAAGATGTTGTTTGATGCGGAGCAGAGTCAGCAGCTAGATTTGTTGTGAGATTATTAAAAGAAGCTGGTTCTCTTATCTTTACAGTATATAAAGTTTGTGGATGTCATTGCATTGGTGATTAAATGCTATTTTATTTGAATAATGATTGTAAATCTGACTTTTAAAGTCAGTGCCTCCCCAATCACAAACCTCACCGCACGTCCCTGGTACAATGGACACAGCATGTTGTGTCTAATTTGTTAACACCATGTGACACAGTGGTCGTCATGAACACAAAATTGCACGCACACACACACAATCGCACACAATTTCACACACACACACATTAACCTGCACTCTCACACACACACACATGTAGAACACACATGCACACACATGCACATACTCACACACAGTCATCCACAAACTCTCTCATACACACACACACACATGTAGAACACACATGCACATACTCACACACAGTCTCTCACACAAAGACAGACGCACACACATACTCATATACACTCACACAATTTTACGCACACACACATGTTGAACACCCATGCACATACAGAAATACACACACACAGTCGTCCAAAAACTCACACACACAAAGACAGACGCACACACATATTCACGTACACTAACACAAACAAACACACACAGCACACACAAATACACAAACAAACACATCTTTGACCATTTTAATGCTAATGCTAAAATGCACTTTGTCATTTCCTGTTTTCAGAACTCACACAAAATAATAATAAAAATATCTTATGAAGAAACTGCAGTGTGTAGTGAAAATTGTCTGAATGGTAAATGATGCTTTCTGTGTAGTTCCCCATCACCAAAGAAAGGAGTTGAATTTATTTAGGTTTTGTTTCAACAATTGAAACTTACCGGCTGCAAACATTTCTTTCACTTGCTCAGAGTGTGATGTCATAGTGGCATCATAATTATTCAGGAAGGAGACAGGAGCTTTGGACAGAAGGGGCGGAGCTACATGTTTGTACCAGAAGTTCCTGATATATGGATCTAAAAAAACAACTTCAGGTTTGTTTTTTATCAGAGTACAAAGTTGTAATATGGTTAAAAGCTCAAAAGATTCAAAAGATATGTGTCCTTTAATACCCATGCATTACTGGTACATAGATTATCTGCACCATGTGTCCTTTAATACCCATGCATTACTGGTACATAGATTATCTGCACCATGTGTCCTTTAATACCCATGCATTACTGGTACATAGATTATCTGCACCATGTGTCCTTTAATACCCATGCATTACTGGTACATAGATTATCTGCACCATGTGTCCTTTAATACCCATGCATTACTGGTACATAGATTATCTGCACCATGTGTCCTTTAATACCCATGCATTACTGGTACATAGATTATCTGCACCATGTGTCCTTTAATACCCATGCATTACTGGTACATAGATTATCTGCACCATGTGTCCTTTAATACCCATGCATTACTGGTACATAGATTATCTGCACCTGACTATTAAACCAAACAAGGAAGGCAAGAATTACGTGTTTATCTACCACAAGTGATGAAGCCTAACAGTGCTAGCCTCGACTTATAATGAGTGAGGTTAGTTGGTACCCACAGAGTACTAATGCAGACACAAAACTTGAGCCAACTTTTGGTTTCTCTGGATGTTTAGATTTAATCCTGTATGAATATTCCCGTCACATTCCAGATTCAGATTCATTTATTTGCCATGTGCAGTATACAAACCATATTGGAATACAAAAACCGATACAAGGGGTAAAAAAAAGCAATTAAAGTGCTTTGTTCAGACACCTAACAGCTTGTGGAAAGAAGCTGTAAGCATAGCGAGATGTCTTGCAGCTCAGCGACCGATATCTCCTGCCCGAGGGAAGAAGCTGGAACATGGCTTTACCAGGGAGGCCAGAAGAGTCATCGTTGATTTTAAGAGCTCGATTCCTTTCCTGAGTTCAGTGAAAGTTAAAGGACAGCCTTGGTTTCTGTGCTCTAGAATATCTCACTCTTATCTCACCGGAGAGGGGACGAGACCCAAACCAGACCAGACCAGACTCGGAGACTGAGGCCCTCTGGATTTACCAAATAAGGAGCTACAATGACGTCTTCCTCTTCATCTTCACATTGTGATAAAACTGTTGCAGCGACATTTGTAGTCCGTCTGAACAGGAGGAGTCTGGGAAATAAAGGAGCTCTACTGTATTAGTATTTAAGGAATTATTTAAGGAAAGCCCCTTCAGATTAATGGTCTAATTTTCGAGGGGGCTTTAAACCTATACACACATACACACATACGCACACATACACTACAATTTACAGAGAAATAAGGGTAGAAGACACACTAAATTGAAACTCTTTGAACTCTTGATGGGTTTTGGTTTCTCTGGGCGTTTGGATTCAGATCACATCCTGTATGAATATTCCCGTGCCATGCCTTGTCCCGAAACTTTTCTCCTCACGTCCCCACATGAGTTCACGGCAACTGTAAACTGTGCCATAACAAATGTATCCTCTCCAAAGAAAACCCCATTTGTTTTCTGTTGGGTTTTATAAAGGAGATAGAAGGCATTCAGAGTCAGACGTTCAGAATAACAGGCAAAGCACAGCACGACGTATTGTTAGCTTTGCAAGAGAAAAACGTTTTATTCATGGAACACAATGTGAGCAAAGAGAAATTCAAAAGGCTGTACAGAACAGGAAGTGCGATCTTTAGAAGCAACGCAATGTACCATGTTTTTGTGATTCTGTGATTCTGACGTCGGCTTTCTTCAGAACTTTGTGTCTTGTGTAAAAGCCAATTTAATGAACGGTGAAGCATCTTATTCTGGATCATTTGACAACACTGAGATGTCACATGCTTCTGTTTGCTCAATGAGTGTTTAAGATTGTGTTTCAACATTATTTAAAGAAGCAATATGTAAGATTTTCATGTCAAGGCGTTAAAGGGCCCTAATCTGTCCAAAGGCATTAATAAAACATGCTCTTTTCCAATACTTCTTTAACTGATGAAAATAGTTCAGAGATATTTGAATTTCTAAATTACTTTTCCAGTCTCTAAATCTTGTTATTGTTTTCATTTTGATGTCCCGCCCTCCACTGTTTCACCAATCAGAAAGTCTGTGATCCGGGCGCCAGAACTCACCGCGTGGAGCTAATCTCACTGGTAAAGTACCATGTGGCAGATTTCTATCTTTGTGAATAAGGTAAGCAAGTAAGTCATGTTTATTTATATAGCACATTTTACAGACCAAGGTACAGACCCAAAGCACTTTCCAATGTCCAGAGTCAGATATTGTTCCAATCCTTCCACACACGGTGATGACAGAAGCGAGTCCAGAACACACTGGACCATCAAAGCCTCTGACCCAACACCATCCATTCACTCTCTCATTTACATTCAGACCTATTGTGCATGTTTTTAGTGGTAGGGGAAACCGGAGCACCTCCTCCTCCACATCAGGACACCTCCTCAACATCAGCACCTCCTCCACATCAGCACCTCCTCCACATCAGAACCTCCTCAACATAAGCCCACCTCCTCCTCCTCCACATCAGCACCTCCTCCTCAACATCAGCACCTCCTCCTCCACATCAGCACCTCCTCCACATCAGCACCTCCTCCACATCAGCACCTCCTCCTCCATATCAGCACCTCCTCCTCAACATCAGCACCTCCTCCACATCAGCACCTCCTCCTCCACATCAGCACCTCCTCCTCCACATCAGAACCTCCTCCACATCAGCACCTCCTCCACATCAGCACCTCCTCCTCCATATCAGCACCTCCTCCTCAACATCAGCACCTCCTCCACATCAGCACCTCCTCCTCCACATCAGAACCTCCTCCACATCAGCTCCTCCTCCACATCAGAACCTCCTCCACATCAGCACCTCCTCCACATCAGCACCTCCTCCTCCACATCAGCACCTCCTCCACATCAGCACCTCCTCCTCCATATCAGCACCTCCTCCATATCAGCACCTCCTCCTCCACATCAGAACCTCCTCCACATCAGCACCTCCTCCTCAACATCAGCACCTCCTCCTCCACATCAGCACCTCCTCCACATCAGCACACCTCCTCCACATCAGCACCTCCTCCTCCATATCAGCACCCCCTCCTCAACATCAGCACCTCCTCCACATCAGCACCTCCTCCTCCACATCAGCACCTCCTCCTCAACATCAGCACCTCCTCCTCCACATCAGAACCTCCTCCACATCAGCACCTCCTCCTCCACATCAGCACCTCCTCCTCCACATCAGAACCTCCTCCACATCAGCACCTCCTCCACATCAGCACCTCCTCCTCCATATCAGCACCTCCTCCACATCAGCACCTCCTCCTCCACATCAGCACCTCCTCCTCCACATCAGCACCTCCTCCACATCAGCACCTCCTCCTCCATATCAGCACCTCCTCCTCAACATCAGCACCTCCTCCTCCATATCAGAACCTCCTCCACATCAGCACCTCCTCCACATCAGCACCTCCTCCTCCATATCAGCACCTCCTCCACATCAGCACCTCCTCCTCCACATCAGCACCTCCTCCACATCAGCACCTCCTCCTCCACATCAGAACCTCCTCCACATCAGCACCTCCTCCACATCAGCACCTCCTCCTCCATATCAGCACCTCCTCCACATCAGCACCTCCTCCACATCAGCACCTCCTCCTCCACATCAGCACCTCCTCCACATCAGCACCTCCTCCTCCACATCAGCACCTCCTCCACATCAGCACCTCCTCCTCCATATCAGCACCTCCTCCTCAACATCAGCACCTCCTCCACATCAGCACCTCCTCCTCAACATCAGCACCTCCTCCTCCACATCAGAACCTCCTCCACATCAGCACCTCCTCCACATCAGCACCTCCTCCTCCATATCAGCACCTCCTCCACATCAGCACCTCCTCCTCCATATCAGCACCTCCTCCTCCACATCAGCACCTCCTCCTCAACATCAGCACCTCCTCCTCCACATCAGAACCTCCTCCACATCAGCACCTCCTCCACATCAGCATCTCCTCCTCCATATCAGCACCTCCTCCACATCAGCACCTCCTCCTCCACATCAGCACCTCCTCCACATCAGCACCTCCTCCTCCACATCAGCACCTCCTCCTCCACATCAGAACCTCCTCCACATCAGCACCTCCTCCTCCATATCAGCACCTCCTCCACATCAGCACCTCCTCCTCCACATCAGCACCTCCTCCACATCAGCACCTCCTCCTCCACATCAGCACCTCCTCCTCCATATCAGCACCTCCTCCTCAACATCAGCACCTCCTCCACATCAGCACCTCCTCCTCAACATCAGCACCTCCTCCTCCACATCAGAACCTCCTCCACATCAGCACCTCCTCCTCCATATCAGCACCTCCTCCACATCAGCACCTCCTCCTCCATATCAGCACCTCCTCCTCCACATCAGCACCTCCTCCTCAACATCAGCACCTCCTCCTCCACATCAGAACCTCCTCCACATCAGCACCTCCTCCACATCAGCATCTCCTCCTCCATATCAGCACCTCCTCCACATCAGCACCTCCTCCTCCATATCAGCACCTCCTCCTCAACATCAGCACCTCCTCCACATCAGCACCTCCTCCTCCACATCAGCACCTCCTCCTCAACATCAGCACCTCCTCCACATCAGCACCTCCTCCACATCAGCACCTCCTCCTCAACATCAGCACCTCCTCCACATCAGCACACCTCCTCCACATCAGCACCTCCTCCACATCAGCACCTCCTCCACATCAGCACCTCCTCCTCAACATCAGCACCTCCTCCACATCAGCACCTCCTCCTCCACATCAGCACCTCCTCCACATCAGCACCTCATCCTCCACATCAGCACCTCCTCCTCAACATCAGCACCTCCTCCACATCAGCACCTCCTCCTCCACATCAGCACCTCCTCCTCCACATCAGCACCTCCTCCTCAACATCAGCACCTCCTCCACATCAGCACCTCCTCCATATCAGCACCTCCTCCTCCACATCAGCACCTCCTCCTCCACATCAGCACCTCCTCCTCCACATCAGCACCTCCTCCACATCAGCACCTCCTCCTCCATATCAGCACCTCCTCCTCCACATCAGCACCTCCTCAACATCAGCACCTCCTCCACATCAGCACCTCCTCCTCCACATCAGCACCTCCTCCACATCAGCACCTCATCCTCCACATCAGCACCTCCTCCTCCACATCAGCACCTCCTCCTCCACATCAGCACCTCCTCCACATCAGTCCACCTCCTCCTCCACCTCAGCACACCTCCTCCTCCCTTTAGCTCCTGGCGCCTCCTGCTTGCCTCGTCACCACGGGAACGCTCTGCTCCCCAGCCCTGGAACGCTCTTTCAGTCAGTCTGTGATGGGAGACCTCTGGGAACACCAGGTGGCGGCTGTAAAAAGTGCCAAAGTGTGGTTGTGTCCTTAGGCAAGACACTTCCTCCACATTAGAATGAGTCTGGTGTGTGTGTGAATGGTTGGTGGAGGTGGGAGGGGCCGATGGCACAGACTGGTTGTCTCGCTTCTGTCAGTGTGCCCCAGGGCAGCTGTGGCTACAGTAATAGTTTATCACCACCGTGTTTGGGCTGAATGTATAATAGCCTGTGAAGTGTCAAAAAAAGCGCTGTATAAATTATTATTTTCAAAACGTGAAAACAGTGAAAAAAATCCACACAGCTACTGTATGTCTTTTAGTTACTGACTGTGCAGATTTTTTTTTCACTGTTTTCACGTTTTGCATTTTTTATTTCAGCTCTAGTCCAGACGACAGGGATGGGCGGCCTTATTCAAAACCTTCTTGTGTTATTATTGCCAAACCACTGAAACACTGAAACACTTAACATTGTACTGTATAAATCATTGGTAAAACATATGTGGTAAAATATTTAGCGTGTAACAGGAAACTCTCTTTTTCATTTTTCTTATTGAACATCTTAAACAAACACTTCTCTTTCCTGCATACATGTCGTTCCCTATGGTTTCACTAAAAGCTTCTTTGCATTTCCCACAAGTGTCCCCAAAGTGGCGGCGTGCGGCAAAGACGGCTCACGTCGGCGTCTTTGGGCCATCCACATCATAACAAGCAGTTGTTTTCCTCTCAGCGTGGGGGATTCATTACAGGATTTTCCGCCGGCAGATCGGGCTCATCCATAAAGAGTGTTTTTTTACAGTGTTAAAACGTCTTCCTGCTGTGGCGCTCCGCTCGTCACTGCTGGAAGTCACTCGCAGAATAACAACAGCGGCCCACATTACAGAGCGGTTTTGTTACTTCTTTGTTATTTTAAGCAAGTGAATTAGCGGAGGGTTGTGAATCATGAAGTGGCAAATGAATGTAAAATAGTTTCAAAGTTCAATATTAATGCAGTGGATGGTTAGAAATTCAACAAAAGTCTAGGACGGCGTAAGGTACCGGGGTTATTATGGTCAACCTTTGCCACTATGATTACAATACGCTCACGCTTTAGTTTTTTCCTCACTAAGTAACAGCTAATTAAGTGTGTAATTAGTGGTTAATTATCTTTCAACCATCTTCAGGCAGTCGTTGTAGATTTGCAACAACTTAATTTCTTATTAGCTGTTTACTCCACATCCATATTTTTGACCCTTTGTTCCTCAGAAGTACCACTGCTGGACTTAGCTGAGCTTTAGCTACACACAGTTTTCCACCGGCTCACCAGGGGGCGCAACTGTCTCACTTCCAAAATGGCAGTCTCCTTGGTTTCAGCTAAACCACATGTGTCAAAGTCAAGGCCCGCGAATGAATTATCAAGTGAAAGAAAGTAAGGTAAAGTAAAGTAAAAGAAAGATGATACTCATGTGTGACATCACCGTACCACTCCTCTGTGAAACTGTTTCGAGAATGGGGCCTTAACCCTCTGGGCGCCAAGGTTGACTTAGAACGGAAAGATGCAGAACTGTTTAAAATGGCTGACGGTGTCGAACATGGCGTACAACATTCATTCGGTTGTCAACATGGGCGGCTCGCAGTAGAGACAGAACTGATTATCACGTTTTCATTATTTCAGTGAGTTCTGTTTGTGTGATTTGTATGTGTGTCATTCTACAAACCTTTCATGAAAATTCTAAAATCCATAATTGACACTTGATGTCATAACATGCAGATTAAATGGGTCAATTTAATTCTTACATAAACGTTGGGCCATTCCAATTCTCCAATTTACAGAACACTTTTAGTTATAGCCATGGAATTTAAGATGTCAAAATCGAGCTTTGGCGCTTAGAGGGTTAAGGTCAAAAATATGCATTATTTTGAAAGTAAAATTGGCCTTCCTGACATCACCTTTATCTTGGCATATTCTCAGCTAATTGTTCATGTTCTTGCTCAAATGTAGCAAAAAGTAGGTAAATGGACGCAAAATATGACTCATTGTTCATTCCTTTCCATCTAGAGTTTCTTGGGGAGAGTAAAGTGGTAAAGAACTGAATAAAACAGTGGTACACATTGGCCCGACGCCGTATAGACATGTGTGAGGTGAGAGCAGTGGTGTTTATTATTGATGCAGTGGGCAACACCCGGGGCGTGTAGAGCTCTGTAAACATGAAAGTGGAGCTTCAAAGACCCGCGGTGCTGGGGTTATGTCAGGTAACTGGACAGAGAGCACAGAGGTCTGCTTTACCGAGCCACTGAAGGGAAGCTGCTCTGAGGACCGCAACCACAAAACTACAGACATGTTTACTCTAAAGTCTGACCTGTGTAGAAATCTGAATTAGCATTCAATAAATATCAGGAAAAGTTATTAACTAATCTGCTTTTAAGTTCAAATATAGCATGTATCATTGGGGCGACTGTGGCCCAGTTGGTAGAGCTTTGGGCTTTTGGCCTGAAGGTCGTGGGTTTGAGCCCAACACAAGACCTACTTCACGACTCCCTCTGATGACTGCTGTGGTTGTGTCCTTGGGCAAGACACTTAAACCCACTTAGCCTGAAGCCGCTGCTGAATAATCAAAGCTCCTGTGGACCTGTGCACCTGCAGGAGGATCAGTGAGGGGCTGGAGCTCTGACTGCCACCTCCGACCCAGGCATGGATTAAAGGGAAGAAAATGGATGGATATAGCACATATTTGTTGTTCTGTTGAAGGTAGAGTCAGCTGATGGATCCTCAACATGTTTTCAGCAGTATCTGTGTCACACATTATGCTCCAGGTCATGGCAGATAGTTTTATACATAAGAATTATACCAGAGAAGAGTGAAGAGTCTAGAGCCACACATCGAGAACATAAACCTCTCCTTCACCGACTTTGGCCGAGAGAGGGAACTAAACTATAGCCGGACTTTCTCCAGACTCTTGTAGTCCCCCGGGACTGATCCACCTGCAGGTGACAACACAGCCTTGATGTTCCAGCGGGGGCTTCAGGCAAAGTGGGGTAAAGTGTCTTTGCCCAAGGACACAACAACAGACATCAGTGGGAGTCCTGAAGCAGGTCTCGTGGTGGGCTTGAACCCACGACCTCCAGGCTCAAAGGCCAAGGCTCTGAGAATTTGATTTCATATTTATCCACTAGTTTTTTGGGGTGAAGTAACTTTATCTTTATTGACCCTGAGCTTGGGTTAACATTGACTCAGATTTATATTTTCTAGCCCTGTTTTGAGTGTGTGATGTACCTAAGTTTTTTTCTTGTCTCGCCCCGTCACAAACCTTGGATCAGCTTTTTTAGACTGAAAAGATATTGGATTGTATATTAAATCGTTAGATACACTATCCTTTTCTATCGGATATGCAAATATGTGTGAGTTTGTGAAGAAAGGAATCTGTGGTGTGGTGAGTCTGTAGCTGTGTTTTAGCAGAGACAGGAAATGGCCTTAACAACTATAATATTGTAAGTAAGCTTTATTTATATACCGCCTCTCACAGACCAGAGTCTCAAAGCGGTTTACAATTATTATTTTTGGGCACTTGTCCTCTCACTCCTCACAGAGATGGGAGCGGGGTCGCCAGTACAGGAGGCGCATGCTAGACCTATTGTACATGTTTTTAGTGGTAGGAGAAACCGGAGTACCCGGAGGAAACCTACGCAGACACAGGGAGAACATGCAAACTCCACTCAGAAAGGCCCTGGTCCGGCCAGGATTCGAACCCAGGACCTTCTTGCTGAGAGGCGAGAGTGCTATCCACTCAGCCACCGTGCCGCCCAAATATTGTATAATTCAAAACATAGAGAGAAATGAAGTCACTCCCATAGTCCTTTCTGCCTCTGGTGCACACTGGGGCAGTCTTGCACAGTTGCTCTAATGTGGTTTTACTGCAAATGGCAAATAAATACTTGAAGCTTCTATGGCCATTTCATAATTTAATCAGTCACAATGAAAAGGAAGAAAGGTATTGATGATTTGATGGAGTTGAGAGAGATTGGCCTGAGGCTGCCGTCTGTAGGGGGCAGTGTGGAGCACGACACATTCAGAATTCAGTGAGTGATGGTTCTGCTTTCAACACTGACCGATGCCGTTTTACAGTAAATACACTTACACACAAACTTAAACACACAAATACATATACAATACAGTTTTCTTATCTAAAATGCTGTATATGAAACATATGTGTTTATTATTCAATATCTATATTTAGGCACTGCAGAGGGTTTTATTAATATTATATCTATAATTATTCACTTTGTCCATTGATTCATTTTCAATTGCAACAACTTTCAAAATCACCAAAAGAGGGTTTCCATGGTAACACAAAACCTTATGGTTCCATCTGGCTGGATGACATCGTTCTATAGAACGCCATTAGAATCTTGTCACCATGGAAACGGGTTCTATGTGATGTCATATTTAGATTTCCCAAAAAGTCTTCCTTGCGGCCTTTGGAGTCAGCGTTACATCGAGAGTCCTCTGCAACAGCAGATGGACTGGCTCTGAAACCGCCGTAGAAAGGTGTTCGTTTGTTTTTCACGATGGCAGGAATGAACAACAAGGACAGTTCCCTTTATAGAGAAATGCTGCAGGAGATTGAGGACGCCAAGACAGGGCCAGCGCCTCCGAAACACCCAGCATGCAAGATATACTCCACTCAGAGATCGCCTGACGAGCCCATCAGTGGAAAAAGGTCCATCCTGGAGGATCTGCCCTTAGTGAAAGGGGACGATATAAAGCGTCTTCTCACATCCTTCTGGGAGAACCTGCAAGCTGAAGACGTCAGTGAGCAGAAGGCCAAGGCCAAGATGGAGGACATGTTTAAGGAGCTGATTTGTGTGTCGGCCAATGAGGTCCTTGGGGCGTTAGTGACCTGGAAGAGTCTGTATGAATGTTCCCCTGGTAAGGTTCAGGTGTCGCAGACAGGAGTCAAAGGTTCACTCAGCCCCGTCTTTAGAACCTTCATCAAACACTCTGTCCAGAGTTCATCGCTCTGGACAGAGTCATAAAACTCCTCTGTACAGAAGTGGCTCTCACGGTCAACTCTGTGCTGAAGGACAACTGTGGCTTTGAGCGTGTTCTGCTGGTGGAGGAGAAGGACTATTCCACACCACGGAGAACCCTGCGCCACATCGCTGCTAATGCACCAATGTTCCTGCCACACATGACCTTCTCAGACCAATGGGAAAAACTTCTCGAGGCCGAGATTTCTAAAGGTCTCACTGAAAACGAACTGAAAAGGGGGGTGCTGGACTGCCTCAGAACAGGAGAGAGTGATGTCTGAGTTCAGTGAGAGAAACCCTTCTCCTGGTCGACTTCATGTCTCTGCAGAACCTCTGATGGAGCAGATGGAAGAGAAGCAGGAGAAGTGTGACATTCTTTCACTTGGAGAACTCATGTTCCAGTTCAATTCCCCTGGTGTCCCCCACGATGAGACTGAAACTCAGCTTAAAACTGAGCAGACCTCGTCTTGTGAACCGGCAAAGAACCAGGAACCAGCCCCTCAGAGCTGCTTGAACCAGGAACCAGCTCCTCAGAGCTGCTTGAACAAGGAACCAGCTCCTCAAAGCTGCTTGAACCAGGAACCAGCCCCTCCGAGCTCCTTGACTAAACCTGGCCCTAAGAAGAAGAGGAAGCAGAAACCAGCCAAGAATCTGCAGGGTGGGCTTGAAGAGCCAAAGACCCCGATAAAAAGCTTTTCCACAAGCGAACGAGGAAAGTCTCCCCCAATTGCGCCTGCACAGGCCAGTTTATCCAACACCAAGACTCAGCAGGTGAAAACCATCAGAAACAACTTACCCTCTGATGAACAAGAGAGGTCTACTCCCATAAAAATCAGATACAGCTTACCCTCTGATGAACAAGAGAGGTCTACTCCCATAGTTATCAGATACAGCTTACCCTCTGATGAACAAGAGAGGTCTACTCCCATAAAAATCAGATACAGCTTACCCTCTGATGAACAAGAGAGGTCTACTCCCATAGTTATCAGATACAGCTTACCCTCTGATGAACAAGAGAGGTCTACTCCCATAAAAATCAGATACAGCTTACCCTCTGATGAACAAGAGAGGTCTACTCCCATAGTTATCAGATACAGCTTACCCTCTGATGAACAAGAGAGGTCTACTCCCATAAAAATCAGATACAGCTTACCCTCTGATAAACGAGAGAGGTCTTCTCCCATAAAAATCAGATACAGCTTACCCTCTGATGCCCCCTTTGTGCCTCTGCACCTGATCCCAGACCAGGGCTCGACTAAGATCATACAGAACCCTGAGATCTCCTCTCAGTGGGACACCGCTCACATCTCCATTTTAGCATGGGAGGTTTCCCGACATATTCTCCAGGAAAAACACCTGTCTGTGGAACATCCTCTGGTTATGAAGCTGTGTCAGCAACTAGAGGAACAGATGTTGGACTGGAATGTGAAGGAGAGTCCGAAGCACAACAAAAAAATTGCTTGTGACATTTACAGAGACCTGTGCTCAAAGAAAAGGAATAAATTGATGAACTTTTCTGCACTGGTCACAGAAGATGAAAGCGACACCATCATCACAGAGATCCACAACCATCTGGTTCGACCAAAGAAGAGCAGCAAGCTGTCTTCCTTCTTCCAGTCCCTCCGCCATGCTCTGTGCAGACACTGTTAAGCTCCACTCACACTTCTGCAGTAAATAACATCCATTAACTTCTTCTAAAACCTTAAACCTGCTTCTTCTCAGAGTCAAACGATCTCGATTTGATTCAGAGAAACAGATGAAGGGTTGATGAAGATGTTAGGAAATTCAACTTTGTTGATGTTTCTGAAAAGTAACTTTACTTTATAGAAAATTCAGCCCTTTTCAGCCAAAGGTCATAAAGCACTTTACGGGTTTCGGTAAAGTGATGTATGGCATCTTTGGTGAACGTTGAATTCACACAATTTTCTTCAACAGCTCCACGTCTTTGGAAACGATTCTCCAATGAAGTGGAAAAAGACTAAACTGCAGAAGTTTAGGCAAAGAGAGACTTAAGCATTACTAAATAAAGAAAAAAAAATCATAATTGTACTGTGTGGACATCTTTTTATATAAATGGCATAGTCTCAAATTCAGCTCACAAAAGAGACGAAAAACAAGTCCAATATTGCTCAAAGTTGTTAAAAACTATTTTAATTCAAGCCCATTTTGACTGCCTCAAAACAAGATTTTCCAATGGGACAAAGAGCAAAATGATCTTGTTTTAAAAATACATTAATTGTCTTTCTTGGAATAAGAAAATAATAGCAATAACAATAACAGTTCTTGAAATAAGACTAAGGGCACAGTCACATAGGGTTTTTACAAACAAACTGGGCCAAGTGGCCCAGATCGTCACCACAGGGAGTGGAAACGGCCCGCGGTCACATGAACGTGTAGTGCAACACTCGGTCCAGCTGGTGGCGCTAATACTAACTCCAGCGACAACCTCATTGTCCGAGTTAAGTTTCCGTTTCTCTTCCTGTTTACGCTCTGCCACTGTAGCTAACTGCTACGGTAGCTAACAGCTAGGACACGAGTGCACACACACACACACACACACACACACTCTTTAGTAACGAGCGTAAGAGCGCTGAGAAATGAATGAATGAGAATGAAAAGTGCGGCGAACGAGCAGAGCGAACGGAGACAGGTGTGTGTGTGTGTGTGTGTGTGTGTGTGTCTGTGTGTGTGTGTGTGTTGGTATGAGCAGTTGCCACAACTGTACATGCCAAAGAAAAAGAGCATTTTGACTCAAAATGAGTACATTTGAGATCAGTGGTGAACTGAGTACTTTTTCTGATTTTAAAAATAGCAGTATGTAAAAATGTGGCCAAAAGTGGTACTGCAGCCTCTCCCACTCTCCCTGACTCAGGTTGCCAGATATGCAGACGAATCCAGCTGGGACCATAACAGCTGAATAGACAAGAGTTTTGTCAACAACAAATCTATAACCAACACCTTTTTCACAAAGATAGAAATCCTGGTTTTATTCCTTGTTTTGTCGTTAATGATTTGAGAATCATAACAAGACCTTTTTTAGTTCTGCGCCACGGTGGAGGGCGGGACATCAAAATGAAAACAAAAACAAGATTTAGAGACTGGAAAAGTAATTTAGAAATTCAAATATCTCTGAACTAGGCGGCACGGTGGCTGAGTGGATAGCACTCTCGCCTCTCAGCAAGAAGGTCCTGGGTTCGAATCCCGGTCGGACCAGGGCCTTTCTGAGTGGAGTTTGCATGTTCTCCCCGTGTCTGCGTAGGTTTCCTCCGGGTACTCCGGTTTCCCCTACCACTAAAAATATGTCCAATAGTTCTGGCATATGCCTCCTGTACTGGCGACCCCGCTCCCATCTCTGTGTGGAGTGAGAGACAAATGCCCAAAATTAACAATTGTAAACCGCTTTGAGACTCTGATCTGCAGTGAAAAGGCGGTATATAAATAAAAACTTACTAACTTACTTACTTACTTACTACTGTTATCAGTTAAAGAAGTATTGGAAAAGAACAGGTTTTATTACTGGGTCAGATCTGGGCCCTTCAATGATGACAGATTAGGGCCCTTTAATGATGACAGATTAGGGCCCTTTAATTATGACAGATCAGGGCCCTTTAATGATGACAGATTAGGGCCCTTTAATGATGACAGATTCCATCCATCCATCCATGTTCTACCCTTTAATCCATTTCTGGGTCAGGGGGGTGACAGTCAGAGATGCCACCCAAGTCTCATAGCACCAGACCCTCACTGACCCTCTGCAGGTGGTGAGTCCACAGGAGGACGGCTGCTCTCTGAGTGTGAGCATAGCCTTGATCTTTCAGTGGGGGCTTTGGGCAAAGTGGGGTTAAGGGTCTTGCCCAAGGACACAACGACAGCAGTCATCAGTGGGAGTCGGTGGAGAAGGTGCAGAGGTGGGAATTGAACCCACGACCTTCTGGCCTTAAGGCCAATGCTCTACCAACTGAGCTACATGATGACAGATTAGGGCTCTTTAATGATGACAGATTAGGGCCCTTTAATGATGACAGATTAGGGCCCTTTAATGATGACAGATTAGGGCCCTTTAATGATGACAGATTAGGGCCCTTTAATGACGACTGAACATGAAAATCTTACATATTGCTACCTTAAGTATTACAGTTTTCTTTGTTAATTTTTTTTGCTCTGTTAATCAAGTCCCCTGTCAAAGGCAATACCAATAAAAACAGACCTTCGAAAAAAAAAAAAAACACTTATTTTTTCATACCTTTTTCCTCAAATCTATTCCAAACTGATGAACACAAATGTTATCAAAGATTACGCAAGCCATTCAAGAGCTGCCTCTGTTTCCGATGGAGATATCGCCGACACGCTGCGTTGATGGGGAATAATAACTTTTCTCACGCAGAGAAAAGAAATCACAAAAGCAGTTATTAGATTCCACACTAATTCAAAATGGAGGAGGCAATTTGAAGTCGTTTTATCTCTCCGGTGCAGTGCTGGAGATGTCACCTCCCGCTCCCCCAGTGCCACTGCTATGTGTGCCAGGCTTTTTTTTGGGGGGAGAAACAGCCTTTGCCTTTTCCGCCGCAGTTCTATGCATAAAAATACTCGCGGCTCGGATATTCCTCGCTGTTTTGTACATGACGTGTTCAGACAGGAGTGCGGCTGACAGCTTGGACACCTGTGAGAAATGTATTCATGAAAAAGCCTTTTGTGGTGATGTCGGGAGATACTGGTCACATATGAGCGGAGAGCAAACGTATATATGCAGACTGCGGGTTTGAAGAGGCCGAGGGGTGAGACGGACACTTTTGGACTGAAGAGACGCTGCCTATTTCTACAACTGTTAGTAAGAGAAAAAAATGTTGTTATGTCAGTTTAGGGCCCTTTAATGATAAACTGATTAAAGGGCCCTATAAAATGTTGTTGGGCGGCACGGTGGCTGAGTGGATAGCACTCTCGCCTCTCAGCAAGAAGGTCCTGGGTTCAAATCCCGGCTGGACCAGGGCCTTTCTGAGTGGAGTTTGCATGTTCTCCCCGTGTCTGCTCCGGTTTCCTCCGGGTGCTCCGGTTTCCCCTACCACTAAAAATATGTCCAATAGTTCTGGCATGCGCCTCCTGTACTGGCCCTGCTCCCATCTCTGTGTGGAGTGAGAGACAAATGCCCAAAATTAACAATTGTAAACCGCTTTGAGACTCAGATCTGCAGTGAAAAGGCGGTATATAAATAAAAAACTTACTTACTTACTAACTTACATACTTACTTATGTTTCAATGTTATTAAGTACTTTAATGCCCTTTGGGATAATAATTGTATTTATTGTTTATGATTATGCTTGATGTGATGTGGGTTGTGAGGCGCTTTGTGTTGTGTTTGTGTAGGAAAGGCGCTCTACAAATACAAGTTCATTGATAAACTGCTTCATGGACACTTGAATCGACTTCAAATGGAAATGCATTGGAATCCATACAAGCTATTACCGCTTAATTTAAATACTTTTAATTTTCAGCCCACTGTGGCAGGGCTAACAGCTGCCAGCCAATGGAAGCCCCCTCTGGCCCATCACATATTTGGAATACTCCGTAGCTATTGTCGACATGGCTCTAAGAAAGGAACCATTAGCAATCGAGATAAACGGTCCCACTGAGTAACTTTTTAAGTAGTACAGTTTTTGAGTTTTGGGGTCCCCCCGGTGAGGCGACAGTGACTCACTTGAAGAGCATTGGCCTTTGGGCCTGAAGGTCGTGGGTTCGAGTCCACCATGAGACCTTCTCCACCGACTCACACTGAGGTCTTCTGTCGTTGTGTCCTTGGGCAAGACACTTAACCCCACTTTGACTGTATATGTATATGTATGTATATATGTATGTGTGTATATGCATCAAACTGAAATGTCCCCGTTGTGGGACAAATAAAGGACCTTTTTTTTGCTTTTGACTGAGTGCAAGTGGATAAGAATTTGAAGGGGCTGTGTTATGAGAAATGAACTTTTGATAGGAGGAATGTTGCCTTTCCAAAGCTGTTAGGTTTAGTAAATTAAATAGATAAAATAAAAAAGGAGAAAAAAATATAACATGAATAAAATGCATACTTACATAATGCATCAGTTCTTCATCGTGGTTTTTGGACACTCAGACGCTTCACGTGCCATCACTCTTTGATGGTGATCTGAACTTCTATAGTAGCCACAGCTGCCCTGGGGTTAAGCCTGGTGAACCGCTCCTCTGGCCAACACCAGGCATTCACACACTTCAAACTCATACTAGACATTGTGGGTGAACTGTTCAGTCTAAAGAAGGACAAAGGACACAGGGAGACTTTAAAAAACATAAACTTTAAGCCTTTCACTAAAGCTGAGTCAGTAACACAATCGACACGGAACAACTTATATAAAAAACTTTTCTCAAATCGTCTCTTCACAAAATAAACAATGTATATTCTCATTTGTATTGCGAGGTTCAGTCTATGGGTTACAAAGCCATTCCACTTCACTCCTGCAGGTCGACAAAAACAATAGAAGCGTCCAGCGCCGGCGTGGACATATTGACATGAAACAAATCACGGCGCCGTTTAAAATGAGGAAATAAAATGGCCACTTTAGCTCCAGAACCAAACTGCGGTGATAGAATTGGAGAGGTGTCTCTGAAAATGCATTAAGGTGTTAAGCTCCTACTCAGCGCATGGAAAAGAAAAACGGAAAGAGGTGACTTTAGAAACTGAAACATTGGATTCTTCTTGGGGTAAATGAGGGCAAGCTCTGAGTGGTATTTGTGGGTTCTTCATAAAGTATTGAAGCAAAAATAAACAGCGACAAAGTGGTGGGAAAAAATCCATGCATAGATTTTGAGTTCCTTTCTATCCAAGTGTTAGATATGAAGGAGTCAAAATGGTTGGATTTAATGATGAATAATCAAAAGTCTAATACCCACAGTGCACGGGTTTGAGTGGCAGGTTACAACAAAAAAGGCAGAATTGGGACAGTGCAGGTGACGTCATCGACTCGTCAAGAGATGGTCATTTTCAGACCTAAACTTTATAACAATTAAAGGTAATTTCGTCCGACCCTGTGGGAAACAAAATGAGTTGCTCCACACACTAAAATAAATGCATATTGGTTATTCTTAGGAAATGATCATGAACCAGAGTTTACACATGGTAAGACCCAGACTAGGTCCAAATGGATTTTATCTTCATTTGAATGTCCCCTTTTGTATTCATCATACAGTGGTCTGACAGGATCTAAGCACTAAATCTAAATCCTTTCCATCTTTCATGTTCTTCTTTGTGATTCTTATATGTCTGCTGTGTGCTGATGTATGTCGAGACAGATACGTGCTAACTAGTGCTGTCCAACGATTAAAATATTTAATCGCGATTAATCGCATGAATTTCATAGTTAACTCGCGATTAATCGCAAATTAGTCACACATTTGCGTGCTGTGTGCAATTGCTTTTTTTTATTGAAAACAAGGTGTAGTGTTATATTACACACTAACATTTGATGCAAAATCATCAATAAATGGATGACAAAATAAATAATTGGTAACAAAAAGCCCCTTCAATGTGTGTGTGTGGGTGTGTGTGTGTATGTGTGGGTATAGACCATAGACTGTATAGAAACATCATGGTGTCATTATGATGATGATAAACAATCTGTAAATATTTTGTAAATTTGTTCATGTGAATACTCTATGCTGTTTCTGTTTACCTTCGGTATATCTATGACTGTATACTGTTTGCTTGTATTGCCTTTTTTATTAACCCCTCCCCCCCATCTCCCACTTCATGTCCCCCCCCCCCCCTCCCCTCCTATGTGCCCTTCTGGGTTTCTTCTTTGGCCCCCTGTATCTCCAACTACATATTGTTTGTAATCTCTGTCTACAATGTATCTGAACTAGTCCTTTTCTTTGTTTCTATTTTTTTTTTCTGTATATGTGTTTGTCTGCAATAAAAAGTAAAAAAAAAAAAAAAAAAAAAAAAAAAAAATTTTTTTTTTTTTTTTTTTTTTAATTGCGCGATAAAAAAATGACGGCGTTAATATTGATTTGCGTTAACGCGTTAATAACGCGTTATTTTGGACAGCCCTAGTGCTAGCCCTAGTGTCTTTTTTTAATCTTTCAATAATATTACGGCATTGTTCTGGCACAGACACATCCCCCCGCCCCTTCTGTCCAACTGGTCTGTTTTCAAACCAATTCTAACTGTAAGAATATGGACAGAGCTGTTGGTTTTTCCTTTGAGTTAGTGTTGGTGAATAAACTTTATTTACGTGTATTCACTACAACAACAAAAAAGGTAAAACACGAGGTAATAGATGCTTGGATCGAGTGGTTTTTATCCTAATTTTAGTCCTTTCTGACAAGATTCACCAATGGGACACCCCTCATAGTATGTCACCTACATCGAACCTGTTGTGCTATAATTTCACTTCCCCAAGCGCCCAGTTATACTTGTTAATTGATACCCCAACCCACACTATAAGCAAGTCCAAATAGCAATATAGTCATACTATAAATATCTCAAGTTACGAACCTATTTGCCAAATTA